ACTTTTGCTCTGAATTTGGAGGTGGTTATGTTTTCATGGGCCTCTAGTGAAGCTTTTTATTACTAAGGGATTGTTATAAAAAATAACTTTTAAATTACATCAAAACAAAAATTAACTTTATAACAGTCGATTAATAAGTGTTATAGTGTTCCATAACGGTAAGTTTAAATGTTTATTTATTAGTGGCATAGCATTATGTATATTTTTAAATAGTGTTTTGGTGTTAGTTATATTAGAATTTGTTATATTATAGTTTTGTTATATTTATATTTGTACCTAAAATTGCATTCAAAACTTGATTATACGAGAGATTTTGTGATGGATAAGCTGTGTGAATTCAATTATCATGTCAAAGAAGTTGTCTCAGTTAGATACAGGGGTTTCATAAATATTGCATAGGCTCTGCATAGTAGTATTTATGTTGAGTGGGTAAAATTGGCCTTTTACTTCTGTGACAGTTTTTCATAAAACTGAGAGTGAAAAATTACAATATCACTTCAGGTGCAAGAAAAATATTAAACATTATAAACAGCAAAGCTGATTTAGGTAAAATTATCATTTTACTGATGACAATATGGTTATGTAAGTAGCAAGAGTATATTAGAAATTCATGAAAGGATAAATTTCATCGCATGAAGTTATGTTTTATCTAGCAATTTTAAGATGATTTTCAACCAAACGAATGCTGATAATTTGCATGCTTAACATGCATCCCATCATAAATCATATACATTATACCCAAAATTAATTTTTTGTGAACATAGCATTATTTCTAAGTTAACAGTTTGCTTTGTTTTAATCAGATTTGATAATAAGTAATTTTAAGTTTATTTGCCTTGTACTAGGTATGACACTCTGCAGTGGATGTCTTAAGTGTTGTATTTTTGTGATTTATAATTTTGCATATAAATGAAAATGAAAAAATATGAGATCAGTTCATTTGCCAGAAAAATATTAAACACAAACATCGAAGCTGATTAAAATAAGCTTTTTATCTTGCTAAAGATTATATGGTTTTGTAGGTAACAAAAGCATTTCAGTCCTTTTTGTTAGAGGAAAAGTCTTTTTGGTGGTAAAATCGGTCAATGTCCACTTCAGTGACCTGTGTTACCTGCTGATCTAGAGAAATTCCGCAGAAACTTTTGTTCCAAATGACGAGTTTTATACCTCTAAGTACTTCAGTCTGACAGCAAGATTTGGGTATTTTTCATATATACAAGACAAAAATCGAGTTTGTTTTTAATATATATCAAAAAATTAATAAGCTCATTTAAATAGATTTAGACAACACTGAGTAGGGATATAAAATTTAATTTTCTTTATACACATTGTTCTGAGATTATGAGTAATGTTTTTCAAGTTACAAGAATCATGCGCAGGTGCATGCATTTTCAAATTGGAATTATTTAATTAAAATATTTGGATATACTGAATAGTTACGTCTTTCCACATATAAAATTTATCAATACATACATGAAAGTGAAATAAAATTTTAAAATAATGGAATTTAGGAACTACTGTGTTAAAAAATAATTAAAAATTTGTTATAATCTCATTTTTTTCATTATATGCATTTATATAATTTAATTTTGTTACATTAGTCTATTATATAATTTATTAGTCTTTTAGACAAATTTCATATGGTATTTGACTATGGCAAATCAAATATAAACTATCTGCCTTCAGGAGAGAGATGTTCCTACCGAGGACTTAGTAAGTAAAACTGACTCATATTCACATTATACATGGGAAACCATGAAGCCAACCAACCATACAGCCAATACATTCATTTTGGTTCGAATGCGAGTCGAACCAGCAGTATTCAGGCAGCAGGCTATTCATAGGCTTGACTGATTTTAAAACTTGATATATAGTACTTAATGAATATAACAAATATTAACAAACAAAGCAGATTTATAAAAACAAAGTAAAAAGACACAGCTAAATCATACACAGCTAGTGTATATCAGACACAGCTAAATCTTAATGTAACACAAATCAATTTTCAAAAATCAATCAACACAAAAAATTTTAACATATTTTGTTGGGAATGTCTGGTAACAAAATCCTTATTTTAGATTCATCACATATAATGTTCTGACTCATCTCAAAACACAAATAATCCACAAATTTCAATAAAATTAATAACTTTATTTCTGTATTAAAAATTCCCTTGATCTTTCCAGTTATAAGATAACAGGCACCCAACAGTTTTCTCTAAATAAATATATGTGCTTTTGCCAGCAGCTCAGTTTGATGAAGGTAAAATTTTTCAAAACACAAGAAATTTCTTGCTTAAATTCGTTTTTTCTTTAAACAGAAACCAAAATGGAATAACACATTATTAAAAATATTTTGCTGACAATTCAGTTTCAGATAATAAGAACATTGTTATAAAAGACAAAGAAAAGAAAGTATATTTCATTTAATGGAGCCTAGCTCTGATGGATACACTTTTCAACATAATATTTGAAACATGTCATGCAAATTGTTTGGTTTATTTGATTATGGCAAAGCACTCAATTTCTATTGACCTAAGAGGGAGGATGCCTTCATGGAGGTCCTAAGGGAAACTGGCTTGTATACGCATTAGGAAAAGCATCCATGCAAACAGCCCGTTCACCAGGATTGGTAACCTGGTCAAGTTATGGTCATTTCAGTAGTGTAAAGTGACTTTCACAGTATTGTTTATTTTATTTATCATAGGGCAAAGTACGTGAGGACTATCTCTTAAATGTTTAGCAGTTGTAGTTTGACCTGGATTCAGACTCCTGTGAATGAAAACACTGAATGGGCATTTTTGCAGTTTGTGTGTAACATGGGTGCGTGACAGTTTTCCTTAGAAAGTTTTTTCTGAAAGCATACTTTCCCTTTGGCAGATCACTTTTGCGTGCTTTGCCATAATCTAACATACCAAACCAAGCCAAGCCTAATCCTAACGAGGACTCATAGTCAAGGCATGTCTTTGTGAAGAACCTTTTTAAATGAAACTGGCTCATGTTGACATTAAACATGAGCAGCAACAATTCACAAAAATTGCCATGCTGCTAGGCATTCACCAGGACTTAAACCTGCTTCAAACTATTAGTATTAAACAGCTTTAAAATTAGGACTCTAGCGACTTTTTATAGTATGTATATCAAAAATCTTTGTAAAGTCATTGCAAAGCACAATTATTACAGAAAATTTATACTGAAAGATTTCTTTACAAACAGTTTTAAGGAATGCATATTTTTTCCCTAGATTTTAAAATTGTGTTGTATTTTAAATCTTAGTAATAAAATTTTAAAGCAAATCTTTCTATAAATTCTTTTTGCATACTCATTTATTAATTTAACCGAAGTTCTTGAGTAGAATGTCTTCCTATCGACATTTAAGAAATTTTTATATGTATGTTCACATTCATAGTGAATGCACACTCACGCATATGAGTACCAAACTCGGGCATCTTGAATGCTTAGTTTTAACATTTCAGAATGCAACAAAGGATATACCAGAAACAGCCACACTTGAAATATGAGGGCAAACAAAAAAAGTTAGTTTCAACATTATATATTTTTTCATGTCCTTGACTATTTATTAAAAAGTATGTCTTCCATTACATTTCTGATTTTTTCTTGTTTCTACTAAAATTCAGTAATGTACTATAACAACGATTTGGTTAGACTCCCATTAGTATAAATTACCACAAGATGAACTGTTGTAAAATGATTTATCTCCATTTACAAGCTTGCAGTCACCTGAATGATTTATACATAACTGCTGTCTGACAATGATACTACACTAACAGGACGCTTAAGTGTTCTTTTCAAACAGCTTCACACCCTATTAAGAGCTTTGTGTTATCTTTCAGCCATTTCTTAACATTCTAAGAATCATAGGCGAAAGAAGACCACAGTGTATCATCTGAACACTGCTTTAGCATTTTTGACCTAGTTTGAAACGTTTTTTGAGAGATTTCAAATTCATGTAAGCACATCCAAAACATTTTGAAAGGCGACTGAAAACATTGAAACAAATTTTAAGCAATTAAAGGGTTAAAATTAGGAAAAAATCAATAAACAGGTCTAAAATATCATTTCTGTGAAGAAATATTTGGATTAGACAATGCAGTTAAGGGCCAAAATCCTTTACTAAAAATTCTTTCAATATTGTGGAATAGTATCTGAATTCACCTATAAGATATAATGTTACTTAGCAGAATTATGCCAAGAATAACTCGTAAACTATGAAATTTAAAATTTAGAAGGTGAATCATGCTTTTAGTAGTCATCCTCTGGAGGGATGGAAGGGGAGCTATGAAAATCAAAACATACGAAGTGAAAAAGAACTCCTGTTGCAAAACAAACTTCTGAAATGCCAGAAAATAAGTAGAATCTTAGGATAAATTGCCAGAACAGATTTTGCACAGCATTGAATAAGCTTAGAATATTTTTTTCCCCTTAAAAAAGCTAATTTCCTGTTTGCTTGGAGAAATATTTTAATCATCTTCTATTCTGAAATAGAAATCTAGCTTAAAAATCTTGTGCATATGATGTTGTAGTTCCACGAGAATTTTTTAATAGAGGTGCATAAGCTGTGTAAAAAATTCCAGCTTGCATAATATAACTGAATTTAATTTCAGAATGCTGCAGTTAAAAAGGAAAATTGGAACATAACTTGTCTGGAAAAATGGGCATTATTTGTGATCTGTAGTGATCCATTTATAATTTCCTACTTCCATAAGCTAATTCTAAATTAAGAAACATTCCTTTTATTTGGTGGTAGCCAAATTTTATACTAGTATACTCTAACAGCTAGGTTATGTACTACAGTATTTTATTCATGAATTTGAAAAATCCTAAGATCCACAGTTTGTGTTTAAAAATGTGCTAGTTTTAAAAATTGTATGGAAATATACTAGAATATCTGTCATTTATATGGGCATATCGTTAAAGCTATTTTTGTGATATTTGCATCTAGACATGTAGTTTAATATGTTTTCCTTAACCGTATTTTAGAGTTGTACATAAAAGTCCTCCAAAGGAAAAACCAAAAGAGCCAATTACAAAACCAGAAAAAAAGATTCAAAAAGAGAAGGTTCCAGAGAAAGTAAAAAAAGCTGAGTATAAGAATGCAAAGACAAAAAAACCTAAAGCAGACAAGGAAGCAAGTAAAAGTAAACATAGTAGAGGGAAAAGAAGAAAACGCTCAACTAGTAGCAGCAGTAGTTCAAGGTGAGTGTTTCTTGTGGAAGAGAATCAGCAATTTGGTTCTTATGGCATATTTTTTTCCTTTTGTTTATTTTAAGTATTTATCAAATGATTGTTTTAAAAGTGTGTGGTTAATGGGAAAGTGTGATGAATGCAATTAATGTACTTAATTTTACCGTTTCAACATCTCTTATTTTTTTTCTGTTACCTTTACTATGATTATTGTTCTTAATGTGAATTAACATTTTCAGTCAGTATGGAATTCAAACCATATGGCCCATAAGAGGGCCATTACAGAGTGATCTGAATAATGGAGAGCTACTAGCTTTGCCATAACAACTGTTTTGATGTAGTTGATTGATTGTTAATTTAATTTTCCAAAACAAAGGTTATCAATAAGGAAGCTTCATTTGCTGTTTATTGAGAGTATTTTGAAATAAGATGCTCAAAAAAGGAGATTCTGCTGGTAATAGAACAATAAAAGCATTATTTTAACAAATTTCAATGGTTTTTCATTTGATGTATCTCGAAGTATTGAATTTGAACTCATGTATATTTGAGAGTGATGGAAAATGGTCTTCCCAGTTTTGTAATAAATCCATTTTAATACAGCCACTTCTAACAGAAATGCAAATCTCATATCTTGATTTCAGTTAATTTACCAAACTGTTCATCTGGTCTTGTGGAATAGCTTGCCACTTTTCTGAAAGTACAATTTCCAGGCCTGATATAATTCTGTAGCCTAAGATACCCCCACACTTGCTGAATCATTTAAGTCTGGTGAGTAAGCTGGTCGATTCTTTTCAGTGATATTTTCCGTTTTTCAAGTAATCTGACATTCGAAATGCACCATGAAGATCAGCCTTGCTATCAGTTGGCTATCTGTCACAACAGCACTCATAAACAGCCTTTCATGGGACACCAAGACCTCATCTACAATATCTATGACTGGTTTTAGAGCCTCCATCAAATATATGCACCTTGGTGTGACCATTGTTTGATTATTTCATTCGAAACAATGATACCACTTCATTGGAAATGGAATCTTTCATAAACAAGGAAAGGTAAATAATACATTCCTCACTCACTGCAGTCTATCCCTGCATCAAAGCATATCTGAAACTACATTTCAGGATGTATCAGGACTCGTCAGTAATGATTACATACATGGCTTCATTCATCTTGGTTCCATTGAACATGACAATGGACGTCACTTTAAACAGCCCTTAGAAGATGGAGTGAGAGTATGCTGGTCAATTCTTACCTCGTGAAATTTTTATGCAGTTCAGCCTGCATCAAGTTCGCATGACAACATGAATGTCTGAAACTCTCTTGTTGTTGATTCTTTTTTTTTTTTTTTTGAGCTGATGCCACAAAATGATCTTCAGGTGTAATTGTTGCACATGACTGCCCTTTGCTAGGCTTTCTACTAACTGATTCGCTGCTTAAAAAGTGGTTCCAAGTTCATAATGTGATATTTTGAGGGATATTCAGTTCTTGCACAATCTCCAAATATGTGTGTCGCTTCTTGAATCTGCTAATTAACCTTTTTTGCCAATCATTTAAAATGATGCCTTTGAACCGTAAGTAATGATACTGCACATTATAATCTTGGCATGTGTCCAGGGCTCAGCACATTGTCAGTCATGTAATATACATATTTTCAAACCTATTTGCGGATAATTTATATTAATAATTTTCAGCATTGGCTATTAGTGAAAATCTTTAGTGTTTTTGTGGCTGTAATATTTTGATGAGTAGTTAGGTAAAAGTAATATGTGGAATCTTGTTTCATGTAATAACCTTGAGAAAAGTGCTGTCATTCTTCATTTACCTGTCTCTACCAAATTATAAGAAAAGGTTTCATTTTAATTTGGTTTTTTTATGTATAAATGTTGTGTATATTGTTGAACTATTATTTTATGTACATCCAAAATAGTGTAAAAGAAACAGATATTTTAGAGACAAAGCAAAAACTAGCAGAATTATTAATTTGTCCATTTTAATTTGCAAATGAACTTGAGAATATAGTTAAAGAGAAGTAAATGGTTATAAAGAAATCAGATGCAATTATATCTGAAAAAATTTTCAGATTTAAGAAATACATTAATGTTTTACATATTTATAATGCAATACGTATTTTATATCTTGGTGCTAGTTATTTTAATGTCTTTAAAATCAACACAAATTACATATTTATTAATCTGTTATTTTAAAAATGAATGTTTTCTAATTAATATTCCCACTTTTTAATGGTAATTTGGTGGCTTTTAGAGAAATGCATCCTTTATATTTCTGTTTCATTCCTTAAATGATAATACAAAAGTAAAACAATCTGCATAGATTTTCTTTTTTGTACTTTTAAGTTCCATTTCCTGTTAGGTTTTTTTTTTTTTTTTCCCCTCATTTGTTTCTTAGGAATCTGTGATTTTCAGTGAAATTGTATGAACCTTGAAAATTTTTAGCAAGGAGATTGTTTCAATATTTAAATTTTTTCCAAAATTTCATTTTATGTAGCTGCCAGTGCTGTATTTGTGTGTCTGAAAAAATTAAACTACTATACAGGTTCAGAACTAGTATGCAAGGGCTGTGGTAACAGTGATAACTAACTCCACCAAGGAATATGTGCCATGACAAACTGTTAAAATGAGCTAAAATACTGCTACTTTTGCACACACAATTTCCACAGAAGTAGGGTCTTAGACATTTTTACGTATCTTCTGAATCTTCGCAGGGATATTTTTTCAAATCATATGTATTGCGTAAACAAGGATAAATATAACCTTCTTATGAATAAGTTATTGCGAATTTGGCAGTTTTATAATTGCTTGTAAGTGATCACTAAAATACTTTGAAAACAAATCTTTTCACATTCTGATATTCGTAATTTAAGTTGTTAAATTTATGACTACATATTAAAGCTTTAAATTTTTATTATATCATGCTTAGAACAGCTACAGTTTCTTTAATGACGTTGTGCAAACTTGCCCCCCCCCTTTTGTGTTAAATATACTGGCTGCTGTAATGCTGGATTTTTTAAGTATGTTGAAGCGTGTGTGTGCTCTCTCGGTTTGTATATAAAGCGTAAAGACACACACTGAAGAAAGTCTTCCTCTTTTAAGTTAAGAGTATGCATTTTGAGTGTCTGTTATAATTTAAATGATAAATGAAAGATTATTGTTGCATGAGCTATTGTGCAACAGCATGCTTACGGTTATTAACATCTCTTACCATTACTTGTGCAGTGCTGGAAAAACTGGAATTACATCAGTAAGCACATTTGTAATATATATTTAAAAAAAAAAAAAAAAAAAAAGAAGGTGCTACTTTGGTAGACGGTTGCACGAATTTTTAGCGATTTTCTTAATTTCGTTTTTTAAGATGGCAGGCAAGTGTAAATAAATCAATTTACTATGAGTATAAAATACTAAAAAAAAGATTATTATTACTTTCACATAGAAAAGAAGAGAATAAAAACGCCGCTATAAAAACATTGTGCCAAATTTTAATTGGATTAAAATATAACTGAAATTGAATATCGAATTAAAAACATACCAACATTTAAAAGAGTTAAAATATTACTTAAATTCAAATACTGTGAAGAATGTTATATAGAATATGATTAACATTAAAATATATGTGACAATAATTATCACAGCAATTTTTGAAGATAGTGTATTTTTTTTTAACAAAAATTGAAGTATGCAATTATAAAGTAAAAGAAAAATATGTACTGACATTTTTTTAAATTCATTTAACCTGTCGTTTATTGATAAGTACCACACAAAAAATCGGAATCATAATTTAGATATCAATGAAAAAAATTTGAAAAATGTAGTATCAAGGGCAGGAATAAAAGATTTTTAAAAAAATCAAACAAATTTATAAATAGATAAAGCAATTTAGAGCCATGTTAATGGATTATGAAAATTACAAATAACAAAAAAATTTTTAAAAAAAACCTCCAATAATAGATTTCGAAGATTCTTTAACCGCCCCTTCCTGAAGTACATGCCAATCATCCCAGTTTATGTCTCGAATAATTTCGAGAAATTTGACATATGGATGCTCATTCAATGCAGAGCAAATTTTCCTAAACAAATACCAGGCTATGTATACTTCAAAATCTCCTCGACGATTGTAAACCGGCAAAGAATTTTTGAAGTCACGCCATTGTCTTTCAACTGTGTTAGTATGAACTCCTGTTTCAGGATCTACGAAATGGTGCGAATGGTTAACTTGCAAGTGATTGAAACCTTCTTCGTCCAAATGGTCATAAGCTTTACAGCAGTCCGAAATAGTCTGGGTTCCCGGTTCTATCCAATCCTTAATTAAAGCGAGAAGAGTATTCGCTGTTCTGTCTGGCACAGCAACTAAAAAACAGTGACCTGAATCGCACTCTATTCTCCCCCAAACCCGGTGGCCTTCAACGAATCGACCCTTGTTAAATTTTCTTTTCCTGATTTTGGACTCATCAATCTCCAGAATTTTCCTTGCCCCTCCAATCTTCTCTGTTTTATGTTCTACAAAATTAATTAAAACGTCGGTTAAATAACTGCTACAGCTTCTGAAAAAATACCGAGCTTACATTGAATTCTGTCGTACGAAGAACCCATGAATATTTCATACCCTAGAGCTAAAATGACAGCAATGGGAAGTTTACTGCCCGTAAAAAAGGAGGAATGTCTAATGCTTTTTTTTACCATTACAGCAGTTATTTCTTCCAACGTGACCGCAATATCATATACGGCTGTACTCAGAATCGGCTCTTTTAACCATCTTCATCTGTGATCCACATTTCTCACACGTCATTGAAGAAGCAATTAGCGAAGTTTCCTCCAAAAATTTAAAATAAATTTCCTCTGACCCTTGTAACTATTTATAAATAAATCTTTGATTAGGTAAGCCAGGCTGGCTAAAATAAGGTCTCAAAGGACAATTTTTTGATTCCTGTACAATAATTCTTGATACTTACCAACAACAACATTCATCTTTGAAGGAGTTCGAAGATATGAATTAAATTTTAAAATGGCCCGGTAATGCACAAATTTGCAGTAACCAATTAGTGAGCTGATTACATCACACCTGGAATTAAAATTATTTAAATAACAGGGTTGCCACACTACCTGAAAAACCGGAAAAATTCAGGGAAAAGTCAGGGAATTTAAGTGTTTTAGTCAAAATCTGGAAAAGTCAGGAAATTTCATACAACGATCCCGCCAAAAAAGGCGAGTTTTGCGCCGACGTCGGAAGAGATCACTTTTTTGGCGAACTGTGTATCACGTGAGTGTCATTCGGGCAGCTGGCATAGAGCCAATTTTCGCAGCTCCAATTTGATTGTCTTTTTAGAAAGGCAAAGCAAGTTTCCCGCAACTTTTGGTTTCCAGTAACCTCGAGAATCGCATGTGCAGTGCATGAACTAAAGAAAGTACCTGTTCTCGTATAAAACAAAATGGGTTTAATCCTAGTATACGGTACCATGAAGGTTAAAATTAAAAAAATATGTATTGTAAAGAAGGAAAACCTCTCTGCAACAGACGTGGCTCGGTTCCATCATAGCGAGAAACAGCTGTGCATCTGTCGCCAAAGCTCGAAACCGGTGTCGAAGTTCGAAGGTCACGTTATCAAGAGTTCATAAAATGAATATCGTTTAAAATGTCTTTAAACTCTAAAGGAAAAGAAAATATTTTTTTGGCACAAGTAAATTAATTCATGGATTAGTTATTTTGACGGGGGGGGGGGAATCTACGAAAATACGTTTTTAAAATTATTGCGAAAAATCCAAGAAAAAACGTTCTTTGATAAAATGTTTCTTCTTGGATTTTTCGCAATAATTTAAAAACGGATTTTCGTAGTTTTCTTTTTTGTCAAAGAACGTTTCTTTCTTTCAATATCCTGTACACATCGCGGAGAGGGAAATTCTGGCCGTTCCGTCGTCAAATCCCTTGGCAAATTTTCCCTCCACTTTTTACATAGACGTTCTTTGGTCAGAATAGTCTCCATGTATGGTACAGCGGGATTTGGCGACATGATGATGAGCAGTAAATGGGTCATTTTGTTCTTGGCGTCAATTTTCAAAAATCATGCGAAGGCCGTATCGTATACTAGGATTTTACCGCAAATTTTTTTTTTTTCTCTTTTTAATAAATACTTTGTCATTTTGCAGTAAAATAAAAAAATAGTAATCAATCATCTAGGATAACCATATACAGTCAAAAGTCTTTAATCCGGACTCGATGGGACTTTGGTGATTCCGGATTATAGACCATCAGTTTAAATCTGGTAAGATGGCATGCAGAAATTATAAAATTAAAAATATGAAACCGTAATTTATAAAATAATGAGCAATTATGATCTAAAGGGTATCAAAATTTACAAAAAAAGAAGCTTAATATTTATTTGTTTACTTTACTAAACATTTCTTTCAACGCGCGCATGCGTAAAGCATACATTACGCATAGCCGAAATTAGAAAATTGCAACCAGAAAACTATTTGATTTGTATTCGTGATATTTATAATGACGAGGAATTTGATTTAAATCATATCAAAGACGGAGTACATCGAGATAAAATACTACATTTAGTAAGGAATTATAAGCCGAATAAAATAAAAACATCTGCCCTGAAGATAACGATAGTGCTGACAGATCAACTTCCAGTTCATTGCGCGCCGCGACGTCCCCCCCTCCCCCGCGCAGAGCAGCGTGAAATTGATAAACAGATTTCGGAATAGTTAGATAAACAAAGGATATGCCTTTATTCATTTTTTGTAGCAATTCTACTTTTTGTTTGATGGACATCAAAACATACTTTCGTTTTCTAGATCCTTTTGGAGCTCCAGCATCGGAAATTCTATTTGACATAATCGAAAGTTCAAGCTTACTTTTATAAAATTGCTCTTACAGTCTGCAAAAAATAATAAGCCGGATCCAATTTGAAGATTAAGGACAACGCAATCATCAACATTAACTGAAATAGATAATTAGATAATTTTAGCTTATACTGTCCGTTATACATTAAACATGCACGCGAAAACGTAGTCTGCGCTTGCGCAGTCGTAAAGGTCTTGCGTGCACGAGTGAATGCACCGCATGCGCAGAAAATTTTAGCTTTGAGGTCCGGATTATGGGTGTCCGAATTAACGACTTTTGACTGTATAACTATATTCGCTAAAATATCGTTGATTATTCTAATTAAATTTTTATGTAATTATCTTTATTTTTATGTTATTCATATCATTTAATGTTGCTTCTTCCCTCTAAATTTATTTATCATTAGTAAATAATATTTCTAAATTTCAGGAAATTTTCTCTGGCATAATCCTGAAATTAATTCTAGCAGTATGAAGACATCACGAAATTTAATGCACATATTTTTCCTTATGTATGCTGCGAAATAAATATAAAATACCTCAATTTAGTAAAAAAATATCATTAAATATATGTCTTTCTTTCGTTTAGCTGCAGAATGTCTGCAAAAAAAGCCTTATTTTATTCCAGATTGAGCAGATTCTAATTTCAAACTTCAGTGGAGAAAACAACTCCTGTTATAATTATATTTGTGTTTTCAAGTGTTAAGGTGCCTTTTAAGAATACACTCACACAAATTAAATTTACCTAAAATCTAACCTAACTTTTAGCACTGCGTTGTGATTTATAAGTACCGGATTAGCCTCGTGTTGAACTGGGGATGATCATGAGTAATAATTAAATAAAACGTACAGTTGTTATCTAATGTATATATCTTAAATTTTATTAAGTTTTTTAAGCGGAAAAGTAAACAAAATTATCAAACAAAGTGTACCAAGAATAATTAAGAATAATGTCCTCTAGGATTTATTGAATAATTAAGTGAATTTGCTACACAGTACAAGTAATGCCATAATTAATTTACCTCTTAGCACAGCCAACGTACATTACGCGAATAGACTGGAATTTTCTCGAAACATACCTGGAAAAGTCAGGGAATTTCATTCTCCTCTTTGAGTGGCAACCCTGAAATAATCATACGTAATAAAATCATTTTTTTAAAAAATGCAAAATTAAATTGTATTTTAACATTTAACAGCCATAAATAATGTTTAAAACATTAGATTAAATTAATAGATATTAAAACCAATTACTTTTAAAGTAAGGTGACATCATTGATTACATCATCCACAACATAAAATATCAAACAATAAAATTTTTATTTAAAATAAAAATGCAAAATTAAATTGATTTTTAATATTTAGAAGCCATAAATAATATTTAAAACACAGGATTTATGCATAATAAAACACACTATTTTTTAAATAAAATGACAACAAAGTATCGGTTACCATAAATAACTTATCCAGCAATGTGTTTACCATAAGTCGTATTACTCGCCAAAAGAAAAATCACCAAAATCCGTGCAACCATCTACCAAAGTAGCGCAAAAAAAAAAAAAAAAAAATTAGTGTAGGGGAGTTAGTGATGAAAGCTCACTTATTTAATAATAAAGATATATTTTGTTTTAAATTTAACTTACTATAATTATTCCAGGTAGTGTCTCAAAATTTCCACAGAATCTAAATCCATTAATCAGTTTAGGTGTGTCAGCTTTTACCACCATCAGCTAATTTGCCACTAAATTTTCAAAGAAAGAACTTTCATATGTTTTAATATAATGTGAATCATGAAGGAAGTGCTGATGTTTTACCAGTCATTGCCAGTTTTCAAGTGAGAATTGTGAAATATTAATTAAACCTTTAAAAATCTAAATCGAATTTTGCAAAAATAGCTTGAAGGTGCAAAATCATTATGTGTTACATAGGTGAAACTCTTTATTCTAAGAAAGATAGCAACATATTTTTCTGCATAATGCATGAAGTGCTATTGTAAAGTTAGGAAAGGAAATTAGGTAAAATGTTTTTTCTCATATTTTAATTCTCCACTTGCAAGTTTTGTTGTCAGTTTTGATTTTATTTAAGTGAAATTTAATTTTAAACTGATGTATTGTGGTTTAAGAAGCATAATTACTTTCATGAGAAAAAATACTCAGTGTACTTTTCTGCATATTATTCTTAGTTCATCACGAAGCAGATCTGATTCTTCAAGTAGTAGCTCAGGTAGCTCAAGCAGCAGCTCCTCATCAAGTAAGACTAGTAGCAAAAGTTCTGTCTCGGTTAAACGACGTTCATCCTCCTCCTCCTCCTCTTCATCATCATCCTCTTCATCTCCATCAAAGCACAAGAAACATGCTTTTAAATCTGTATCGAATAAACGGAAACGTTCCAGGTATGTCTTCTCATCTAACTGATCATGAATATTAAAAATGTTGTACTCTTAGGACTGATTTCTTCTGTAAATTTAGAATCTTAAAATAACAAAAATCAATACTTGCATTACGTAGCATTCTTTAACTTACTCTACAGAGTACTTTATAATTTATAGAAAAACTTGGGTTTACGTTATCTTAAGTGTTAATGTTCTAAACAGTTTCCTGTTGTTATCCATCATAAAGAAAGCGCTTTTGACTGAAAATTTTATGAAATCATTAAAATTCTTATTCCTATGAATAATTAATGTATGTGTATCAAATATGTTTATGAAAAGGAATAATTTATGGATAAACATAAAAAATATTTTAAATGATTTATCATTTCCAATGAAAGATGTTCTCTTTGCTCCATTTAACTAAGGCTGCTGTTTCATGAAATTTTAAAGTTATGGTGCAAACATCTGCATGGTTCACTGAAGAATATCTTGTTTAGGGAATTTGTTTTTCTTGCTTTTGCCCCTTTCTGGGATCAACAAAAAGTTATGTGTAAGTAAATTTCCATAGTGTCATAAACTGGAATATTCAAATGGAAATACAGTGGATATGCATTTGTCACAGTGGAAATTTTTTAATGCAGCTCCCATTTACAAACCTATTGGAGTTCATAAAACCAAGAATCCACTGTATATTATGCATTCATTGCTCTGAATAGTTCGTGGTTTAATATAAAATATGTGTTTCACCTTTTCATTTTTAAGTTCAGAAGCTGTTTTGTAATATTGTATGTATTTTCTCCTTGCATAAATGGTCACTTCTACATTACTTACTGCTACGGTTTTTGTTCGCTTTTGAAGAAGGGAATAGAAGTAAATGCTGTCATGGAGAATAAAATTTTTTTAACATATGTCGTTCAAAATCTATAGTGATGCTCATACACTGAAGGGACAAAAGTCATGGGATACCTCCTAATATTTTGTCTGTCCTCCTTTTGCCCGGCGAAGTGCAGCAACTCGACGTGGCATGGACTCAACAAGTCGGAAGTCCTCTGCAGGAATATTGAGCCATGCTGCCTCTATAGACGTCCGTAATTGTGAAAGTGTTGACGGTGCAGGGTTTTGGGCACGAACCGACCTCTTGATGATGTCTCATAAATGTTCGATGGGATTCATGTCGGGCGATCTAGGTGGCCAGATCATTCACTGGAATTGTCCAGAATGTTCTAACCAATCGGGAACAATTGTGGCCCGGTGACATGGTGCATTGTCATCCATAAAAATCCCATCGTTGTTTGAGTACGTGAAGTCCATGAATGGCTGTAAGTGATTTCCAAGTAGCTGAAGGTATCCATTTCCAGTCAATGATTGGTTCATTTGCACCAGAGGACTGAGTCCATGCCATGTAAAAACAGCCCAGACCATTATGGAACCACCACCAGCTTGAACAGTGCCTTGTTGACAACTTGGGTCCATGGCTTCGTAGGGGCTGTGCCACACTCGAACCCTACCATCAGCTCTTACCAATTGAAATTGTGACTCATCTGACCAAGCCACGGTTTTTCATTCGTTTAGGGACCAACTGATATGCTCACGAGCCCACGAGAGTTGCTGCAGGCGATGTCGTGCTGTCAGTAAAGGCACTCGAGTCGGTCTTCTGCTGGCATAGCTTAAGGAAGACAAATTTTGCCACACTGTCCTATCAGACATGTGCCTCGTTTGTCCACATTGATTTCTGCGGTTATTTGACGCAGTGTTGCTTGTCTGTGAACATTGACAACTCTATGCAGACGTCGCTGGTCTCGGTCGTTAAGTGCAGGTGGTCGGCCACTGTGCTGTCCATGGTGGGATGTTATGCCTGAAATTAGATACTCTCGGCACACTCTTGACACTGTGGATCTCGGAACGTTGAATTCCCTAACGATTTCTGAAATGGAATGACCCATGCGTCTAGCTCCAACTACCATTCCGCGTTCAAAGTCTGTTAATTCTCGTCGGGCGGCCATAATCACGTCAAAGCCTCTTCACATGAATAACTTGGAACACAAATGAAAGCCCTGCCAAAGCACTTCACATTTATACATTTTCTACGCGATACTTCTGCCATCTGTATATTTGCATATTGCTATCCCATGACTTTTGCCACAGTGTACTGCTCAATACCTTTTATCCTCTGTCACACCATGCATAGTGTTTGATTTGTTGTGATTTGTATAGCAGAACCTTTAATGCCACACAAGTTTGTTAAAAGTTGAATTTTCAAGCATTAAAATGTATAATTTCCCAATAAATCCTGAGTCCATAGCTTTTTTAAATGCTTATGTTATTCATAGTAATCTCACTAAAGTCAGTAAGGATTAAAAACAGTTTGAAATTATTTTGAATTCATTTTCTGTATTTTTATTTATTTTTGAACTCTGTGTTAGTATATATATTACTCTAAAAGCCTGTAGTCTGGTAAATCATAGGTTTTACCAGTAAGATCTAGCCTTTACCAAAGTGGCTTGGTTAAAGTTTGTTATGCTTTAATGTAATTCCAATTCTGCCTTTTACTAAGCCTTTGTGGTAAAACCTAAAGGTTACCAGTGCTTTCCGGTAAAAGTCCGAAATGAGGGATTTAAATCGACCTTGAATAAACCTACACATACAAATTCTGTCGCAATACTTTTCTGTTCTTGCCCCTCCTTATTTGTGCCATTTGCAGTCTAGCTTTGAGTGAATTCAAACAAGTAGCTACCATCTAAAATAGAAGCAGTTTGTTTCCATTTTAACATATTTTTTACCATGAACTGCTGAAAGGAAATGACTGATGTTATGCGGCAAAATTTTTACGATATTTTGTCTGAATCTCTAAAAATTAAGCATGATAATAGCTTTTATTTAATAAATGAGAAATAATTTTCTTTAATAAATGAAGTGAAAGAAGCAAAATGCATGAAGGAAAAACAAACAGTTCATTACAGAATGTTCAAATGCTTATGATATTCTAAATATTGGAGGAGTGAACAAATTTATAGAACTGCTATCTACAGAAAAAGCAGACATTGTATATTATGTTACAATTGATGAAGTTTTCAATATTGTATACAATGCTCATATTGCAGTCGGTCATGGTGGAAGAACTTATATGATTAATGAACTGAATTCACAAGTACAAGAATGTAACCATAGAATCTATCATCACACATTTGAGACTATGTGAACCATGTCAAAAAAAAAAAAAAAAAAAAAAAAAAAAAAAAAAAAAAAAAACTGAAAAAAGGGATTATAATCAAGCCAGTTGTGCATAGCAAAATGAATTCTCGATGCCAACCTAATAGATACAGTCCAATCCTGATCATCATACGAAATTCATTTTAATACATCAAGATCATCTTACAAAATTCGTCCTACTCTGAAATCTACACATTAAAAGAGCTGATTACCTTCTGGATGTTTTCACAACTTTTGAAGCCCCAAACATTCTCTGTTCTGACAATGGAAGGGAATTTTGTAACCATATCATAAACAGTTTATGTGGAATTTGGAGTGATATTAAAGATAGTTCATGGTAAACCGAGACATAGTCAATCGCAAGGTTCTGTCAAATGGACGAACTGAGATGTTGGTTACGTGTTGGCAACATGGATGGAAACAAATAAGACAGAACTGTAGTCGGAAAGATTAAAATTTGTTTAAGCAATGAAAAACAAAGTATGTCACGAGGGAATCAAATATTCACTTTGCAAAGCTATGTTTGGTTGTCCTCTGAAACTGGGACCTTGCTCAAATTTGCCACATAATTTGATTAATAACATGGTCACTGGTGAGGACTTAGAAATAATTATAACGGATGCAATTGTCAACAAAGTTCAAAATGTGAAACTGTTTCGAGAGACAGCTAAGAAAAGACATGAGAAACAGGCAAAGAAGATGAAGATTGCATCTACTAAAATGTTAAAAAATTGATAGGTCAAAAATGGATTCAAAATCAGTAATAGCCATTATTACAGATATTAAAGATGAGTTTTATGTTGTTGTACTAAGTTTGGTAAATTGGAATGGTTGTACGCAAGAAACCAGTTTTCATTTTTTAAAGAAAATTTTGGAAACATTGAAGAAGTTAGTCCAGAAGAAATAACTGTGCATGAAGTAGTAAAAAAACTGCAGTTGGGAGACAAGGACTCAGAAAATGTAAACTGTTCAAAGAAGTGTACTACAAAGATGTGTTTGAGCAAATCAGCTGATCTACTTTGTAATTCAGAATACCATCACAGTCAACCTTGTTGTAACAGGTAGAAAGAAGTATTAAAGTAGTAGTATTCAATAAAAACATACTACATTTTTCTTTTTTTTTTTTTTTAATTTCATAGATTTTATTTTTTCCCTGAGCTACAAGTTTAATTTTTAACTGTTGCCAAAATTATTTTTAAAAAATTATTGAAATCTCTCCAGTAGTTATTGAGAGAATTATGGATTAATTCAGCTTTTTCTCAAGAGATCTTATTTTTGAAATGGCATAAGTATTGCATTTTTATTTCTTGTAACTCTGAAAAATAATTGTTAGACAGTTCCATCACATAATCTTAAATCGTACCTTATTTTGCAATCTGTATTATCAATTAAAACAGGGTTTCTTAAACTGTGGGGTTGCGGGACCTGCAGCAGGGGGTCGCCAAAAATTTTAGCAGTATTTTAGCACAACTTCAGTCACTACATATAAAATCCTAAGTGAACAAATTTCCAAAATTGGAAACATGTTAGCTTTAGTGACATCTCCCAAAGTGAAGCATGCTAGCTTTAGTCACATCTCTGAACTTGTAAAAGTTTTGATGAGTTCCAAAAATCATTCGACCTAAACGTCAGTAAGGTTCATCTCATCTACAAAAGTAAAAAAAAAAAGTGCTAATTTGTTAAAGTATATATATATCATTTCACATTATTGAGGAGCTAAAGGCTTTCGACCCAAAATTAACTTGTTTTTGTGTAATGTATATAGTTGTTTTTGGTTAGGCCTGGGTCTTTTTATACTCATTTTACTTTAATACAGTAAGACCCCGCTTAACGCTGTTTCGGTTTAGCGCTCTTTTATTTCAACCCGGGGATTCCACGAAATCGCTCGCAGCATATGGAGATTCCCCGAAATATTATGCAGCGATAGGTTTCAAATACATATCCGAAAGAGTGTACTTGTATTTCTTGTTTGGTGCAGTATTGTACAGACATATTTTTATTATTGGAAACATTTGTTGACATTATTGTAAGTATTAATTTACATATTTAATACTATATTACAGTGTCAAATATTTTGATCTTTGGTTTTTTACTATGGGTGATAATGGAAAAAGAAAAGAAAGCAAACCAGAAAAAGCATTTCACTCAAAACTAAAATGGAAGTGATTAGAAGATTAGATTCTGGTGAACGTCAAACTCTAATTAGTGCTTCATTGAATTTGCCAACTTCAACAATAAGGACCATCATGAAGAATAAAGAAAAAATACTGTCATTGGCAACTGCAACTAGAATACCCGTTCTAGAAATAATCTCATAGAGGAAATAGAAAAACGACTGTCTATATGGATTGACGACGAAATTGACCGCAATATGCCATTAAGCCAATCTATCAAAATGGAAAAAGCTAGAAGAATTTTTAATTACATTCAGGCTGAGACAATTGACAAAAGTGAAACTTTCGTTGCTAGTAGAGGATGGTTTAATAGATTTAAACATCGAAATAACCTTCACAACATAAAGATTACAGCAGAAGCAGCGCAAGTGGTGATACAAAGGCGGCGGCTGAATATCCAGCGATATTAAAAAAAATAATTGAAGAAGGAAACTATCCTCCAGAATTGGTTTTTAATGTTGATGAAACAGGCTTGTTTTGGAAAAGAATGCCGAAACGAACATTTCTATCCCGTGAAGAGAAACGAGCATCAGGATTTAAAGCTGCAAAAGATCGCTTAACACTTCTACTGGGTGGTAACGCAAGCGGAGATTTCAAATTAAAACCACTACTAGTTTACCACTCCAAAAACCCAAGAGCGATGAAAGGCATATCTAAATCAACTTTACCTGTAATTTGGGAGTCTAATAAAAAATCATGGATAACTATGAAAATTTTCCAGGATTGGTTCACTGAACATTTCTGCCCGTCTGTTAAACGTTATTGCGAAATTAAAAAACTTGAACAAAGAGCACTTCTATTAATTGATAATGCTCCAAGCCACCCAACAAATTTATCAGACTTAACAACTTGCATTCCAGTCGAAGTGGTTTTCTTGCCGCCTAACACAACTGCCTTAATTCAACCAATGGACCAAGGCGTTATATCAAATTTTAAGGCTTATTACTTGCGGCGAACCTTTAAGCAAATGTTTGAAAAAACAGACGGAGAAGAGAACCAGTCCATAAGAGAATTTTGGAAAAACTACAACATCGTGGATGCTGTAGAAAACATAGGCCTTTCTTGGAATGAGGTAACAGAAAGATCTTTGAAAGGAGTATGGAAGAATATTTGGCCGGATTTAAGTAAGAGCGATGACGTTGGACACTCTGTCGATGTGGATGAAATAGTGGAAGAGATAGTGAAATTAACGAAGCAAACCGGTTTTGAAGGGGTAAATGTGGAAGGTGTTGAAGAAATAATTCAAGAAGCAGCGGCTAGTCTTTCTAATGATGAGCTCAAGGAATTAACTGAACAAGAAGAAAACAAAAATGTTGACAGGAGTGATTCAGAAGAAGAGCAAAAAGAACTTTCGTTGGCGTTTGTAAAAAGGAGTTTGTCTACCATAACTGAAATAATGGATCAATTCATTGAAAATTATCCGAATTTTGACAGGAGCTCAAAAGTAAGGCGTGGTGTTAGAGATGCTCTACCCGTTTATGAAGAACTTTTAAGAGAACAACGCAAAAGAAAAAGGCAAACAACTTTAGATGCTTTTGTCACAAAAAGGCAGAACACTGAAAATGCGGAAGGCTAACTAAATATGACTGAAAATTGTATTTTTTTATTTATTTTTTTTTAAGAATATTCGTTTTGTTATTTATATTTTGTTTTTTATTTTTGCAAGAAATAATAATGTGGTATTAATTTGGGCTTTAAGAAATAAATGTTTGGTTTTATTTTTATTAAAAAAACATACTTTTTAAATTTAATACCTAACCAATTTCCTAGCCATCTTCCCCTAACCCCAATATTTACATGTAAAGATCTCCTCATTTAGCGCTGTTTCGCATTACGCTCTACTTTGATGGAACGTATCCCCCGCGTTAAGTGGAGTCTTACTGTACTTGCACTTTAGTTTTATTAAAAGTTTTCTGGATTATCTGCTGTTTATAGACCTATGTTTTTTTGGGTCATTAGCTTCCTTATTGGCATTTCTTTTTGTCTGCATCTGTTTGCTTGCATCTTCTGCCCCATTTGCCTGGTAGTAGTTAGGCTGTGCTTATTTACCATCTATCTCTGTTGGCTCAATTTTTTGTGTTATCACCATGATTATTAATTGCTTTTTAATTACAGTAAAATTCCAGAAATCCACAAAGCTTGGGACCAGAGGTTGTGCGGATTTTTAAGATTTTGCGGATTTCAGGACAGAAAAGATAAATCATACTTTTCAGACTAAAAGTGCAAAATAAATTAGGCGTATCAGATACATTTAATTAAATTATTATATACATTATTGCAGTAACTTATTATATGCATTAAATTATTATTACATATATAAACTGATTATATTACTCATTGTATTATATATATACAGCATCGAGGTTTGCCGATTTTGCCTCATACAAAGGTTTCTGGTTCGGATTCCGGTGTTAGAATCACTGTTGCTGTAAAATTTCAACAGTTTTTCTTTATTTTTCCTGTATATCATACACAGTCTGTGTCGCTATTCCATACGATTCTGCTATAAACCCGAGGAGTAGCACTTGTCTCCATCTTTTACAGAATTTCCACTTTTTGCATTACCGTCAATTGCAATGTGTTTACGTTTTTCAATGTTGCAAAGCAGTAAAGGCATGAGTGCATTTCTTATCTGTCATTGTATTAACAAGTGCTGATATTTAAACATATTCTCAAATTGATCCACAAAATATCCGAATTTAAAAAAAAAAAAAAAAAAAAAAAAAAAAAAAAAAAAGACAGCACTAAATAATCTCGTGAAATAACAAAGCTCAGAAAATACAACAATGTGAATTGTGAACTTGAAAGAAAAGGTGAGTGAATCATCGGCTTTTTTACCTCGATGCAGATTAAAGGGGAAAAAACTTTTATCATAATGTCAATAATTTGGTATTTCTGTTATGACTAATTATTATTCAGTAATTATGACGTCATCATTCGGTAAGTATTTTTTCTTCGATGTTTTGTACTCAAGGGTGTGGTTTCTGGAACCAATAAACTGAATGTTTATATTTTGAGAGGCAACAGGGATTTCAGGAATTGGCGAATTTTTGGTATTTGACTACTTATTTAAGCAGCCTATATGCTGCCCGTCACAAAAATTACTAGTTTTGCTTTTGATGCAAAGTGATGTTAAGGCTTTTCTTCTCCCCTCCCCATTAGGTCAGCTTCAGTAAAACGTAAGAAAAAGAGCTCTAGTCCTCGTCCAAAGAAAATCCATGTTGGTCGCTTGTCCAGAAATGTGAATAAAGATCATTTGGCTGAAATATTTGGCCTGTATGGAACCATTAAGAATGTGGATTTGCCTCCGGATCGAATTCATGCACACCTATCTAGAGGATTTGCATACATTGAGTTTGAAAGTTCTGATGATGCTGAGAAAGCTATTGCACATATGGATGGTGGTAAGTTTTGCTTTACTTATGTTTATTAGTTACACTCTGTGCTTATAAGCAAAGAAGCAGGTATAGAATTTAAGGCTGCCCTTCACCTGCCAATTTTGCATAATGTAGTCTTTCGTTTCCCACTTTTCTGCAATTTTATATTTAAAAAATTAAATGTACTCAAAAACTGAGTAAGCTACTTTTCCATGTAGAATGTTATCGAGGAATACTTTAGTAACTGCTTTTTCTATAAAGACTTGTGAAATAGTACAATTCAAAATAGTAAAAATAATATTGCTGATGGCTGAAGTAAGTTATAACTATTATGTAGGAAATTGTACATTTTGATCTTTGAACATATGCAATACTTCGAAGTCATAAATGCTCTCTACAGAAAAATTACAACAGTATTTCCCAACTTGAATTGTATCTTTGATGATGGGATCATTTTTGCTCAAGAAAATCTTTGAGTTTGAAATAGTTACTGGTTCAAAGTCAGTGTTATCTGTATCCTAAAAGAAGAAGGGCAAGCATTTGCTGCTGTGACATTAATGCACGATGGACCCCCACCGTGTATCACTTCTTCAACCTCTTTTTCTCAGCTTGTTGACACAGTTAAGTAGTATGCACAAATGGTTACTCAGGTGTCCAAACTTGTCTCCTGCCTCCTTATTCAGAGAGTATACAACGTTAAATGGCATGTATGTGTGAGGTCTGCAGAAATGCTGTTTCATGCTAGCTACAACATCATATCTTAGTCTTCACAGTGTTTGATGATGTTGCATGCCAAATTTATACCACATAGTTGTACTTAAACTATTTACATATTAAAATCCTTCTTTAGAAAATCCTTGATTGTATGCATTTCTGTACAGGTTGTTTCAAACCAACTAGAAAATGCATTAGAGCATGAATGTTTAAAAAAATTTGATTTCTTTTCAAACATATTGTAATTTTAAGCATTATTAATGATCAAATTAAATATGCTAGTTAAATTTATGAAAGCATCATGAGGTTTATTACTTTTAGCAGTGTAAGTCGTATAAACATATTGTTTTATTCTTTATTTAGAAGACCAAATCTAAATGAAAGAAAATGTAGAAAAAAAGCGGTCTTTCTTGAGTAAATGGAAAACAGTTGGAGAGCATTTACAATGGTGTATCAAGTAACATAAAAAGACCTTCATTCCTAGTCAGCAAAACATTGCTACAGTGTTAACTGTGGTATAATGTATTTGATTTAAAAATTTGAACCTTTCATTTTTAAGCGAGGACTGATACAAGAAAGCCAGCTAGTTGGAATGAAATGTGTGTTATTTCTGGTTTCCATGAAGGGCTGTGGTTTAGGATTCCATTTGAACCCCAGAAAATAATCTGCATTTGATGTGAACTTTTTATAGTGCTAAAATAAAAGGTATCTAATGCTTTGCTGTGGTAAGAGCATAAATTTTCATTGTAATTAGCTGCTTAATTTTGTTTTAAATGGAAATTTAAATTTTGCAAATGGAGTATATTCATTAGGGTTTATAAGTCTCTGAAAATAGACCTTATTGAGTATACATAAGGTTACCCTTTTCTGATTTGGTATGGATTAGAATGGAGTAATATAAAGTCAGGTGTAAATGCCACTGTAGAAGTTGCAACATGCATCTTTAGAATCTAGAAAGTTTAAATAATTTTATCATTAAAACAGAAAATAACTGTCACTTTACATTATTTCAAGCATTTTGCAAACATGTGCATCAGAGGGGAGTGGCAATCTTATAAATTACTTGAAACAACTGAAAAATTAAAAGCTGTCAAAGATGCTTACTATATTTATCATGTATGAAATTTACTGTTCATCATATTCTTTAGTGTATGTTATGAAAATCCATTCTCTACAGTAGTAATATTTATCTAATAATAGGTCTCTTTTCCATGTAAAATATAAACCCTGGAATTGGAAGTGTGCACTTAGTTATGTTACTATGATATGAGATGTTTAATTGCTCTTTCAGGCAATTCATTTAATGCAACATCACATCGAGGATTTTTATGTACTGCTTTTTTAACCAAATTTTATTGCAGTATATTCTCTTGAATTTAAGCTGCACAAAAAAATAGGGTGGTATATAGACATGTCAAAAATGCATTTTATGGGCTACTGCTACTATTGGCATTAAACATGCAATAAAGTACCAATATCCACAGTAAAATAAAATAAACAAGACACAGAAGATCAGTTACTGAAGCAGAGCTGCTGGATTGAAAAACAATGCTTTATTGCAGAATTGGTGCTATAAAAAGCAGGTGTAATTACTGAATATTGTTCTGAGTTTGGTGTGTGATTTTATCTATTTATACTTACAATATTTAAAGTTATTTAATAAAAAATTAAAGTGAATTTGATTATGCTATAAAATTATTACAACAGAGAAGAAATATGTTATGATAACTATTAACCCATTAACCGCTAAAACTACAAGGAATGTTTCTTTTCTCATGAAAATAACAACAAGTATTAAATTAAGCATTTATACCATAAATTTACATTGAAAATTAAAAAAAAAATGCTCTTACCTGTGTAAAAAGCGAGTGTTGCGTTCGCACATCGTCAGCGGAATAAAACTACGGATGTTTAGTGAGTAGGACTGTACTCGTGTGATGTTTCTTTTGAGTGGAGCGCAGGATTACTTTTTAGCTGTGTAACATTTTATAAATCTACAAATCACTTTACTTGTAATTAATTTAATATTAAAATACATTGCATTTCTTTTACAAATACAGATGATTTCATTTGAAAGATTCAAGCATGAAAAGCTTGATTACAATCATGATGTAAAGCTACATTACATATTTTGCATCTATAAACAGTCTGGCTATGGTACTCTTTACAACAAAGTCTTTTGTTATCAATGGACTTTACGATAAAATGTCTACCATCTCCATGCAATGGTTTTTGAATGCTGAATTTACTACGTCTTCCTGTTGCTGATCCATTTCTGGCTAATTCTACACTCTCAATAGGAGTTTGCAAAAGGAATAATGCAATTCTCGCATCTGAAATCCTAAAAGAGGACTTTATATTTCCAGTAGTAAAAAGTGGTGATATTTAGTAAGTTTAGATACGGTCTCACCTCATATAATTTATCAGTATTATCAATTTGACTATTGCCAAATGCAAATTCTGCTTCATATTCCTGTACTGCAAACGTGATATCAATTCTCGTACAACAGGAACAGAAATGTCCTTGTCAAAAGACTAATACATTTTTTTCTTGAGTTAAAGAATGATATCCTGTAAGCAATAATATTCCAATAAATTTTCTCATATAGGCTTCAAATGCAATAAATTCTGGGCATTTTTTTTTTCCCCCTGATCATATATATTTGTCTGTTCAACAAGAAGAGAGGCACTATTTTTACCTTTTGTTTTGTCTTTTATGATTTCTCTCCCATCTCTTTCTTCATGTTCTTCCTGAGACATAACTAACAGTTCCTTTTTTATCCACTTCAAGATTTCAGTCTTCTGCTTTTTAAACTTTTTAGTATGACTATAACTGCTTTTAGAAAGCTGAAACTTACGTGAATTTCAACTTACCCAGCAGTATCATTTGGTAAAATATCATTATCATTATTTAAAACATTGCCATTCCTTTCTTCTTCGTCACTAGCCACTGCAATTTCTGTGGGAACAACAACAATATCAGTTTCATTCTGGTCATTATTAACATGATAATCATCTCTTTCTTCATCAAAAAATTTTGAACGGCTCCTTCTAATGTAAGATACCTCGTTCTAGGCATTTTTAAACAACCAGAACATCGAAAGGAATGAGTGAAAAAAGGAGATTGACAACCAGTTTCCTGCTGACGTTGCGTCAACGCAACACCTGTTTTCCCTTTCCCAACACAAATATAAACATCTGACTGATGTAATGTTCTGAAAAACAGTGACCTTGACTAAAAATAGATCACTCATAAAGACAGCGATTCTTTCGTTAAATATTTTCAGCAAAAATACCCGGTCGAAACTTTTGCTTAAATTTTGCTTAAAGTATGAGATTAATTATATAAACAAAATGATTATTGAAGGCAAATATTTTTTTACAGATATAATCTTCATAATATTCTCTACACAAAATCATCTGCTGGTATAAAATATCTTAGGTAGTTATATTTTTATACACATTTATTTTGACCGTTGTGTCAATGCAACACCAGCGGCTAATGGGTTAAAGGAAGTGGTTATATGTATTTTGTAAAGTTTGGCAAGTTAAAACAGAAGAGAAACCCACCACATTGAAACAAAATTAGCGAAGCAACAACCCAACCTTGTGTTTGGCATAGATTTCTATGAATTGGCCGTTCCTCACCTCGCAAGACTGAACCGCATTACGAGTTCCTTCGCCCCTTATAACCAGGGTTCATATCGGTTCTTACAAGTGCTTATAAGTCCTTACATTTGAAAATAAAATATAAAGGCCCTTATAGGTGCTTACTTTTTCTTTAAAACCCTTATTTTTTTGTTTTTAGTTCTTATTTTTTGCTTTTAGTGCTTTTTTTTAATCCTTCTTTTTTTTTAATGAACGCACATTTTTTACCCGTACCAAAGCCGAAACTAAATAAACAACTTTTCTTCCTTATATGCAACGTCAGATGGTGAATCATACTCCCGGAAATTGCTTTTCCCCCCTTTCTCTGCATTAACGTAACTTATGGTGCGCGCGATTGTACAGACAGGTGCACGTTGTTCTATTGGTCAAAGAATTGCGAAAACGGTAGAAAATTCTGGTACATTCGGTATTCTTTTCCTCCTACCCAAATACTACACATATTTGAATTTCTATCAAGATTTTAATAATTTGCATTCTTCGTTCTGTGTGATCAGTTCATATCTTCATGTTTATTATGATCATTATGCTTATATTATGAGCATATGCATGAATATTTATAATAATATAGTTGCAGTGCAGTAACTGCTGAAGTATAGATAAACTTCCAAAAATGGGTTGTTTTTACACAGATTAGCTTTCTAAGG